CAGAGACCGCGCTCAGGACCTTCAGGCTCTCCTAAGCCAGCACTCCTGTTAGACACGCTACAACAATCAGCATACTGTTTGGTGTGTCAGGGGAACTCTTCTCAAGACAAGCAAAGATGTAGAAGGGAAAACTGTAAAGTGAGCTACTTACCAAGGAAAGTAAGTAAAAGAACTCAGTTGGGCACGGCAAGGAACGGTGGCAATCCCACGGGAGGCTGAGGCAGGGAGACGGCGGCCAGGTGCAAGGCCGCCCTGAGCTAAGCAGTCAAGACTCTCAAATTAAGAAAGGGTGAAAGAGAAAAATCTGGGAAGATTTTAGAAGAACACACACACACACACACACACATATAAATATATACACACATGTGCATGCGCACACACACACAACCTACAAAATTTCTTTCTGATTTTAACTTTATGATACTTTCTGAAGTTAAACCCATATATATTAACCCATTTATATTATATATCAAACATGCCACCTATAATTTAAATCACAATATGATTATTAATGATACTATACCATTCCTACAGACTGGCCATGCAATTCTCTTTTTTATTTGGGGTCGAGGGATAAGATATTGTCCTCCCTATACAGCCAAAATTGTCCTCATACTTGTGGCCATCCTCCTGCCTCAGCCTCCTAAGTGCCAACTGGCATGAGCCATCACCCAGAAGATGGCAGTGCAATTTTCTTTTGTTTTTATGAGTTATGTAACTGTGTATGGGAGGGTACAGGTCAGAACGGATGTGCAAAAGTCACTTGTAGGAGTTCCTTCTCTCCTTCCACCACGTGGGTTCAGGGGATCAAGCTCTGGCTGTCAGGTGCTTTCCTTTATCTGCCGAGGCATCTTGTCAACATGGCAGGGCATCTCTGAATGGCCAGAGTATAATAAAAACACTTTTTCTCATATTTTTTCTATTTGAGTCTATTTTGCAAAATCATCTATCCAATTACTTAATATTTTAAGCCCTGGTATTAGTTGCCAGTACCCTGGTGGAAAATCCCAATATGTTATGTATTTTAATACATTCGCTTCATATTTCTTACAATTTCCCACAAATAACAATGTGTAGTTTTAGAAATTGTTTTTCAACACTTATCAAAATACTTTCAGCTATAAGATATTTAGAGGCTAGAGAGGGGGCTTAGTGGTTGAAGGCACTGGCTGCTCTTGCAGAGGATCCAGGTTCAATTCCCAGCATCCAACATGGTGGCTTCCAACAATGTGCAACTGTAGTTCCAAGGGACCCCATGCCTCTTCAGTCCCTCTTCAGGCACTGAGCACATACATGATACACAGACATACATGCTTATAAACACTCAGACACATAAAGGTAAATAAATAAATACATGAATGTAAAAATGCATCCTATTTTAGAGTGTGGCGGTAGATTTCTACCCTGGCACTCCAGAATCAGAGTCAGTGGTTTTGAATACAAGCATTGGAGTGAGGGTTTCGGGGAGGTTCAAGTGAGATTCCTTGCCAAAATGAAGCATCAGGAACTTTAGATTCTAGGGAGTCTGAAATTGCGCTTTTCGGTGGGAAATCTGAACGGCTGGCATCACGCATAAATATCTGAAACCTTTCCCGGTCTTGCAGTGGAGCCTGAGAGTCTGAGATGAAATAAGCGAGGCTGTTTCATAGCTGAAAGCAAACTTACCCCGCCACCCGTGAACTTCTGGAATTCTGCGTTATTAGGAGGTTATATATTTGATTAACTATTTAATAAGAGGCTATATATATGATTAACTATTTAATAAATGGCTAAAGAATTTGAAAGGAAAAAGAAGCTGAGACAGGAAGACTCCAAGTGTGAGGACAGCCTGAGCTACAGAGATCAAGACCAGACTGGTCAGTACCCTGTCTCAAAGTAAATAAATAAAGCAATTAATTTCCCAAACTAATTTTAATTTATACGTATGTCCTGAAGAAATGAAAGAGACTCACAAGCTACTCCTTCATTTCCTCAATTCAAACACCCCTTCTTGATTCCTAACTCAGCAAGACTTCACTCAGTTCTAAATTTTAAGGTGTCTCAGCTCTTACACACCAATTGATATGCCCAAATCGAGCCTTCATACAGGGCAAGTACGTATTCACACAGGGCTTCTAGATCCATTTGCCAGGGGTTTTAGTGGAGTGCGAGACAGAACGCCGTCCTCCACCGTATGCAGTAAGCGAAGCACAATCTTCACTGAAGCATCCTTACTGGAGAGCCCTACTTGGTTGGTCACTGCATTTCCAGGCTAATGACAACACACAGCATACGCACACAGCCAACACTGTGCATACAGAAACCCGTCATCTTTACATACAGGAAGCTCTGCTGCAAGGGGCCCTTGCCTTACATCACTGCTCGGGCTTCCCCTTTTCATCAACACTACAGATTGTTGACATACACCACATTAACCCTTGGTTGTTCCACCACTGAGGAACCCTCCCCCCCCTAGTTAAAAGAACCACGGCAGAAAATAACAAAAGCCCACCATTAACCTCCAGAGGGTCACTGACTTCCCGAGGCAAATGAGGTGATGTTCCTTCCAAGTTGTTTTAGGGACCTGCTTTCTCTTTGTAAAGTGGCCATACTGACCAAGGTCCAGCTCGCTGGATCCCTTGAGGATACACACAGCTTTGTTAGAGCCTCAAGTTCCTCAGGAAATGCTTCAGAACAACAGCAGTGATGTCTAACACAGCCAGGAACCTTTCCACCTGCCACTCCCACCGGCAGGCCTGGTTCGAACACTTTGAGAAATGACCTCATATTTAATCCTACAGCATTGAGCAGACTTTACAGGCAGTTACCAAGGCCGGAGGCAAACCTACAAAGGCTCTTTTTATTCCTGCCCTAAAAAAACACACCTCCCAGGGACCAAGCTCAACTCTGCCGGCTACCATATTTTTTAAACTTCTTAAAATGTGGAGGGAGACGGTGAGGACACAGAACTCCGACAGCAGCAGGAGGTCTTCCTATCGCCCCCATCCCTCTCGTTCACCTCCCCTTGAACTGCTACATTTACTGTATTATAACCTATTTGTGATGTTTAGGAGACCGGCAGATAATAATTTATTTTAAGAACTGTCCCTTTGTTTAAAATAGTTAGGATTTTAAAATGCTAAAAACATTTATAGTCCTATGAATTTCCAATTAATTAAGTTTTACTACACACCTGTTAAAAATCAATAAAACACATTTTGGAGGGCAACAGTTTAAGACATATATTAAATAAACGTAAGATACCCCTTTAGGGTCAGCTTTTCTTTCTCCTGGATTCATGGCATGGCAACTAGAAAAAAAAATGTATCTTGAAAGCAATGGCACTTGGCATTGAAAAACCCTTCCTGCTTTTAAAAATGTATATACTGCACATTGGTGAACACATGCAGCCAAAGAAGCACAGAAGCAGCCATTGCACTGTGTACGCAGGCACAGGAAGATGGAGAATCAGGTAAACACATGACTGAATCACCCAAGGGGGAGGGGTCTCGGGGCACAAAACAGAATGTGACGTTCTAAGCAGATCGTTCATGCTAACCAGAGAAAACAGTGGAAGAACGGATGCTAATTTACTTAATAAGCAACATGGTAAGCATGTCTCACGTGAGACTTGTGGATTCCGATATGAGCCTTGACATGTATCTCCAATTACAAGGAGCTATATCACCGCGTGTTCTAGACTCTTTCTGCCGAGTCTACCATTTGTGAGCGTGTTGTCTAGATGCCTCAGAGCGAGCCAGGAAAGCTTACGCCATTGATGTCTATTTCTGGCCTACCTTCAAAGCCTTGACATCATGTTCAGACACACACCAAAAGAAAAAAGGGGAAAATGAACGGTTGTGTCTGCTCTTAACCCCAAGCAGCCAGCCTCTCTTGCCCACGGATGTAACCTAAGCTGCCCCAGATGGCCTGGCTCAGCTAGCACAGGGGAGTCGGGTTTGTTTTCAGGGTGGGTGCTGCAAGCACCAGGTGTATTTATAGAATGGAGCAGCAAGTCTGCGACGGAGTGAGATGGCTGAGAGGAAGTTTCGTCCACGCAGTGGAGACAGCTTATGGAAAAATCGAGATTCCACAGCTCGGTTCTACTCCAGACCCACCGACTACCAGCTATGAAAATATATTGTGGTCTTTACCGTTAGAAAATGTAGACACAGAAAAATAACAGAATGGCAAATGTACATGAGAAGGTTGGGGTGTAGACGGGGTTTCAATAAACATCACCTTGTCTTCCTCCTGTTCAGCCAGAATTACGCCTCAAAAATCAAAACGAGCTTTCAACGTGAAAACTGGGAGGCATGCGCTGATAAGCAGGGAGAAAAAAAATGAACAAACGACTTACATGGTGGAGTGGGAGTGTGTGTGTGTGTGTGTGTGTGTGTGTGTGTGTGTGTGTATACTGAGGCTTTGCCTGAAATGGAGTTTGAATATTGATAAAGAGGGAGAAGGGAAGAAGGCATGGGAAAAGCATCAAGCTGGAAGCTCACTGGCAGGAACATCAACAAAGAGACTTTATGTAAGCACGAAACAAACTTCGGAAGCCACGGATATCCTGTGAACCCCCCTTGGCAGCCTCCATTCAAACCACAGCGCTCAGAGCTGAGCCAGAAGCGCGCCATCCACAGGCCGCCTGCTCCACCCCAGGCCACGTTATCCCCCCCCCCCCAAAACTGTCCTCCAAGCTTGGGCTGTTCTCCAGGCTCCGAACACGCTCCAGATGGCATAGCCAGCCGGCAGCGTGCGGTTGGAGGGATGGGGATGGGATCCTGGGGAGAGATGCTTGAGCGGGAAGGGCTGCAGAGAGCCGGGCGAGGGGCGAGCGCCACAATGAAGGACGGGCGGAGACTGCGACAAGCAGGGATCGGGGTCCTGGGCGGGGACCGCGGGCGAGTCTGTGGGCGTGGGAAACCTGCAAGGGGCGAGGGATGGGGTGCAGTTGGCCAGCCTGGCTAGGAGGATGCTGGCGGCCCCCGCAGGTGCCACCCTGGCGCGGGGCTACTCACGGTATACAGCAGGTTGAGCGCGCACAGGCAGTTCTTGGAGCACGAGAAGCCCCCGCACACCATGGTGGCGCGTGGGCTGGTGGGCGCCTTGGGGGTCGAAACGTCCTCGGCTGGGCCGGGAAGGTAGCCGCTGGATCCTAGCCTCCGGGGCCTGCGGCCGGGGCTGGGTGCTGGGTTCGGGGTTTGGGGTTCAGGATCGGGGCTGCAGTGCCGCGCCCGCAGCGGCTCCCACCCGCTCTGCAACCTGCGGCCGCAGCGGCTCCGCCGAGCGCACGCCCCGC